ATGATGACTTTGCTATTCTTGTGAATCCAAGATCAAGTTAGCAAGTTAGACAATGTTAGAATTGCATGCTCTGAAAACCATCTCCATCCCTAGACTTAAGTCGCTCTTTTTTCCTGAAATGTCTTTCAGGGTCAGCTTTGTTTTCTCAGCATTTTATATTGTTCCTCATTCAACTGCCAGTTAGAAAGTCAGCAGTTCGCGATGTTCAGTCATTAATTCAGTTTTTACACTAATTAGCCCATGTTCACTGTCATATACCATTGTCATCGGTAGTATTTTAATTGTATGCTAAGAATTTGTCAGAATATGTTTTAACAATTCTGGTGCAAAAATAGACTATATCTAGATTAAACAAATGCTTGACGAAGCAATTAGTACGGTTTTCACATTTTTCACAGGGGGCTCCAAAAAGGCCCATTCAGTTGGCCAGGATAAGTAGATTTTTCTTGGTCGACTGAGTAATTTTAAGAAAGCCCATTTGCTCAATGGGCATGAGTATTGCAGGCATCGGGCCAGCAAATTGTGAACTGAAGTTCAAGTTGGTGTTGTTTGTTTGTTTGTTGTTGTGTTTTTTGAGCCCTGTTTTGCACAAACCTTTAATTTGCACAAAGCTGGAAGACCACTTTCAAGCACTCTCAACATTGACATTATGTTATAGGCTATAGATTTTGGCTTCCCACTCAGCTCTAGCCGGGTTGGATTGTCTTGAGAGGAAAGTGGAAAAATATTCAAGTACATGAATTAAAGTGAACATACACAAATCACATGCCACCGTGCATGAATTAAATGTCTCTTTTGATTTGAAGTATACGTCTATGTTAATGATGTTTTCTTAAGAGGGTTTGCCTTGAACAAAACTGCAGATAAAATTGTTCAAATAATTTACATTCTTAAAGAGAGAAAGTATACAAATTGTAGAAAGCTAACATCAGTAATGATTTTCGTGAGTGAAGTGTATTATTATTATTATTATTATTAAAAAAATATAGATTATCAAAAACACAAAAACATGAAATTATTTCCTTCTATGGCTTTGAACAGAGAAAAGAAAGTGTAACTGTGCATGTGTGCACAGGGTATGACAGTCCAATAGCTAGTTAGTCTGCTAATAAATTAAATGTTTTCATTAAAGTTTGTTCTCTAGAACTGTACAGGGACTTCACAAAGAAGAGTTTAATCTTATTAGCGACTTACATAATAATTACGTTTTGTTGGCCATTTGTACATCAACTGTACCTAAGATATGGGTTGCCTTTAATTCGAATTCATGTCATCAGGTTAATGAATTTATTTTTAGCTTGAATCACCTCTCAGAGAGTTTTAAAGCTCGCAGAGTGAAATGACAAATTATATATTTTACTTAACGTAGTAGAGTGTAATATTGTTAGTGACTTTCATTGTTTATTTCTATACTACGCTGTACATGTACTTAAGATCTGCAATGTCTTTATGTGTTTAACAAGGAATATGTACATGTAAATAGATATCTCTTTCAAAAATTTATGTCATCAGGAAAGCCTTAAAGCTCACTGAGCTAGTTTGATAAACTATTTAAAAAAATAGTAATAATTAAAGAAGTAACAATAATATACTCCATGAGTGCGATATTAGTTTTTCTCATGTAAACTCTCAAGGCCACCGTTAATATATTGTAGTATGCACCCTGTAACACAATATCAATAAAAATAATGTTTAATACAGTTTTAATTTGCTATTTTGTTTAAAAATTGGAATTGTTGAAGTTGTGCTGAAAAGAATATTGGCTTGTACTGTACATGTATGATGGTTACCTTTGAGTCAAACTTACTGTTGTAAAATAACTTTGGGCAGTCAGAATAATTCTCGCAGTTCAAGTTAGTGCAGATCATTAAAGATAAATAATACTAGTTTTGTATCAAGTTGTCTAGTTACGAAAGTAAAGAGAACTTCTTTATGGAAAATACTGAATCATAAACTGAAGCATGCAATATGGCATCCTAAAAGTATAGTTTTCTTTGTGTATTAAATTGCCATGTTCAGCATAAACATGTTAGCTATCACAGTGATGTTTTATTTTACAAATTTGTGAGATACACAATATTATTTTGATATTCTGTAAGTAATATTCGATTTCCTTTTTTCCCTAAATACGGTATTCCATTGTTGACTTTGGACCTTAGCGAAAATTTGTTTTTGGTTTTAATGATAAATTGTAATATATGTTGTGGTTTAATTTTACCCATGGTTTAAATCATATTTTTATTTGATTCAGATCAGGGGGTGATATGTATAATAATGAGCTTGAAACAAAGACAATAACATCTAAACCAAGGATAAAATTGAACCACAACATATGTGCTACAGGTCGAAAATACATTCAGCTTAAAATGTTTTAACCTAGGTTGATTCTCAATTTTCTTTCTAGCCCTAACTATTCATGAATTTGGGCTAGGAAACGAAGGAGGTTGAGAATCAACCTATGTATAGGTTAAAAAATTTTAACCTGAATTTATTTTTGATCTGTAACATATACATATTGTTATTATTAAATATTATATTGTAAACTGGAGATCTTATGTGGCTGGCTAGAATATTTTGATGTCCATTTTTGTGTAAAGTTCTATTACATGCATGCGCTATATGGTGAAAATGTATTGAAATATTATTTTATTATTATTATTTTATTTATACTGAGTGTATTTTTTTTATCTATGGTAATATTTTCTCATATTTGTAGCTTATTTACATACAGAGTGGTAGATATTGATTGTCAGTGAAACCTCTATCAATCTTTGTCCCTGTCAGCACTTTTAAGTGTACCATTTAATCTCTTGAGAGCAGAGAGCTGCAGAGTGTGCACACTGCTAACTGGATGGAGATAGTGAAAACGTAGTTTTTAATAATACTCTCACAATATTGATACCAGTGTATTTTCATGATCTTTATTTGCAACATCATTTCCAGGCCTTTGTCCTCTTCATTTTATTTATTTCTCATTATTATGATTATGATTATTGTTGTTGTTATTATTATTTTTTTTTTTTTGTGGTAGTTATCTGTTTTATTGTTATTATTATTATTATTATTATTATTATTATTATTATTATTATTACAGATGTGTGAAATTTGTAAACCTATCCATGAGCTCCCTTGGCCTTTTCTCTGCCAAATGCTCCACGTTCTTAGACATGATGAATGACATTGGCACTGACAAAAAGCAGCAACATTATATAATCAACAAAATTATAAATATAGCTATTAGATCAACATTATTTCATCTTTTGTTGTAGAAATAGGAATTGGGATAGGCCAGACTTAACGCAATTTTGATTTTGTGTGTTTTTATGAATTGTGTTGTGAAATTTTTTTTTTTTGATTTTTTAAAATTTTTTTGGGAATAATTCAATCTCAAACAGCCAATAATTATTGTAAATTGCCTATACATGGCGAGATTTACGATTGTACATTCCAAAACAGAAATAAAGTTTCCATTAGTATCATTATTATTACAGTGGAACCCCGTTCATACAGTAAGCAAAGGGCCAAAAAATTTTGGTCATATTAATGGGTGACCGTATTAATGAGGGTTTTTTACAAAATGTATGGCCATTTTCCAGGCACCCCAAAAAAAGTGGCTGTAATAATGAGGTGGCCGTAAGGTAGGGTTTCACTGTATTTATGTCATCATTATTATTATTATGAGCTCCCGTGGCGTTTTTTCTGACAAATTGCTCCAGGTTCTTAGACATGATGAATGACATTGGCATTGACAAAAAGCAGCAACTTTATATAATCATGAAAATGATAAATATAGCCATTAGAGCAACATATTACATCTTTTGTTGTAGAAATAGGAATTGGGATAGCCCAGACTTAACACAATTTTGATTTTCTTTTCTTCTTCTGCTTCTCTTTGTTTTTTTTTTTTGAATAACTCAATGTCAAGCAGCATTTGTAAATTGTCTAGACGTAGCACAACAAGATAACAACAAATAAAAGTTTCCATTGTTATTATATTCATTTTTTTATTCTTTGCTGTGCTTTATTATTTATTATTATTTTATAAGAGTTATTTTAACCTTTGACAGTTCAGTTTATTATTTTGTTAATTTTTAATGGCGCTCATCAAATTTTTTTGTAGAAAAAAAAACAGTCATGACATTGCAAGCTAGTTTACACACACGATTCAAAAGTGCATTCAAGTGATTTATCTCAGTTAATTATCAGATTGTTTGGGGTTTTGGTTATTGTTGTTGTTATTGTTGTTTTTGTTGCTGTTTTTTTTTAATTTTTTTTTTAATTTTTTTTTGTGAAGACATGCATCATTGGAAATCATTGTAACCAATGTTTTAAATATGTAGATATATCGATGGATACATTAAATTACATCTTTGTTTGTTATTTTATCTCTTAATATTGGTTTTTTAAAAAATGTCTTAGACACGAGGCATGACTTGCTCATGACTAAGCAAAATTTCAGCTTACCTGGGATATGATTTGCATATGGAACAAAAAATCTGCTTTGAAAAAATCTTTAACTTTAGTTTGCTATTATATGTTATTTAGTAAATAACTCAAAGGTTGTTTTAAGTTCTTTGTGTCACTTGTCATAGTCCTTGTTCTCGGGGTGGGGAGGAAGTTGTTTTACAGATCGTGGGTCAAAATTATTTCCTCTGAAGTGGAAAGAAATGTTAAACAATTACATGCATAGCAACAGGAAACGGTAAACTGTATTTGGAAAAACCAGGAAATACTTTCAGCTCGGCCCTGTTACATTATTCCGGTTTATTTCAGTTTTACATCTTATGATCACGTTTTTTTCTTGCCGTGTGTGTAAGTTTATTTCCAGTGATATCAAAAGAATATTTTTGAAGGGCTAGAGTTGTACCCGCATGCGACAAGCGTGTAAGAACTGTCAAATGAAAATGATCTGTCAATGACGTTTTCCGCAGTCACGTGTCCTTGCTAAACTTAAACCTCATTTGTTATGTGTGGCGATGTCAGTGTAAACTTCATCTACAATGCCCGTGACTGAAGTACAGGTATTTTTGATTTGTTTTCGTCATTTGCCTCTAAAATTTTCCCCAGACCTAGCCATATATTTTTTCAATCCTTGAGGAATATTTTGAGTTAAAACAAACGCATAAATCGACTATTTAGACGTGTATTCAATCATTTCATTTTTGTAGCATACCATGACAGAATTACTGCCTAACTGACTTTAAATTATTGATTTTAATTTTCAGTGGATCGGTGCCAGTTGTGGACGGCACAGCTCATATACCTTCTACAGAGGATTCAGATTAATTGCCGATGGAGTAGAGAAAAATTCTGCCTGGGAGAGTTTTTATTTTGTGAGGAATTCCACAAATCAACCGATATGCATAGCTGAGCTACAATTAGTTTGGCACGATGCGAGTACTGACAATCAACTCGCTTCCGCGAGACTTTATTTCAGACCCGAAGATACTCCGATAGGTCGCCTTCCAAATCACGGACAGGTAACTTTTTTATAAATTTATTTTCCCGGCATTTTAATTTATTTTTTGCGCTTAGATTTGGCGTTTTGAAGTCCCGAAAAGAGGCGGTAGTTAACAAATCTGAAAACGCTAAAAATTTGTTTGTTGAAGTTATAATGCTTCATTGATTTTGTGAAGACGTTGTTAAAAGTTCGCTTCGTTACTGGGTTTATTTTAACCGTTTATGGCCTCAAAGATTAAAAAAAAAATAACGCTTTTATTATTTTTTTAACTTATTTCGCATTAATTGTTAAAATTTCAAGCCTTTACGAAAAGAAATCATAGCGCTATAAAACGGAATATTTAAGCCCAGTGTGACACGCTTTTGTAGTCTATCACTTGTGTGTCCTATATTTAGATGAATATTTATTAGACCTAGGAAAAATAATGTGCCTAAAATATTTTGGTTTTTTTAGTAATGATACTTAAGTTCTATTTCACTCAAGTGTTACTTTAGAGAAAAACGGGTCGATAAATTGAAATTTGGCCTTTTGTTTCTATAGCGCAGGGCGAGGAAGTTAAAGAATTCCCATGTGCTGTTGAACTTCATTAAATTTCATTTCTTAATTTTAATAATGACCGAGCTGATTTCATGGTATCTTAATTGGCTCAATAAGCTGTTTAAAAAATTCAGCACGTTAGCGATTTACTCGTTAACTTTTTCTGTGTGTTTTGGTTACACTGTAGCATTTTATAAAGAACAGCATGGCCGTTTCTTGTAATGAGGTTTTTACGACACCACTACGCAATTTATATTCATGAGGTCATATCAGTAAACAACGATTTTATTCATTCCGCTCAGCGCACCGTACACACAAACCTAATTTCGTTCTTCGAGTTATATGTGTAAACTTAATTTTCATCTAGCGACATTTTTCACTAATATTTAAATATTTAAATTAAACTCAATAATTTTAAGCTATAAAGCAGCGAGCGGTGTTTTGACATGAACAATAGAGATTGATTTGCATTTTCAGCGCTGCAAGTCAAATTCACTCACGACGTTTCCGGTCAAAAGATTGGATTTCAGTTGGTTAAGCGTATTTTATTTTTTTAGCGATTATTTCGATTTCATTACAGTATTTTGGTTTTTACCAAGGCGAGTTGAAACCTGTTTTCGTGGTGCACTTTCGACCAGAAAATTATCGACATTGTATTTGTTAAAAGATGGCACCTACTAGTACCTTACGACAGATGCGTATTAACGAAACACAATAGAAAATATTTAAATAAAAATAATAACCTGCCTTTTAGCTTTAGACATTATGTTAATCGGATTTTTTTACTCCCCTCTTTCTAACTGTTTTCGGTTCCATTTCGTGGTCTAAAAATATTTAATTTCAGTTTTGCACTGATTGGAATAATTTGGACCCGTTTCAATTGTTTTTCAAGCATTTGGTTGGAGAGCGGTACTTGTAAACAAATTGTAACCACATGGTTTTGATATTAATTAGAATTAGAATCTATAGATTGTTTTTCTAGAGTCATTGTGACATGGAATATTTTCCGTCTTCAGTTTATAAACTGATCGGTAAACTGAATTGTTAATTTTAATTGATGTCCATTTCAAACCAATGTTCACATTCACTTGTAAATTTTCCTTGATTACTTTACCTTTCCATCACGTCATCTTTTATTCAGAGATTAAAGAAAGCTTCTTACCTTAGTGCATTTTCTTCATTTTAGATTCATAGAGTACTTTTTTCATAACTGGATCCAACATCATTTACTTCTTCTCTACATTCTGTCTTTTTTTGTGTGTGTGGTAGAGCTGAAGACATATATAATGCCACATCTGTTTTGTGTCTAGCCACAATTCAGCAAAGTTTGTCATTTAGTGTCTCCGTGATCCAGCATGCACATGATGAAAAGTAGCTTAAAATGTGTCTTCTATTTGTTTATGAGAAATTTTCAGTTGCGTAAAACCCTCATTTTGCGCTTTCTTTCCAACTGTGGAAAAATAATTAAAGAATGAGTGGAAACGTTAACGATATTATTAACTGTTCATTGAATTTTTATGCGTTAATCACACTGTGCTACTAAGCTTTTTGACAAGCATAATTTAATTCTTGTAATTGGAACTGTGAAAATTCCACTGATGAAGAGCTAAGCCAAAAACAATAATTATTGGACATTGGAAAATGTACCTCAACATGTCTGAAATAATTATTTCTTGCGACTCCAAGCAAGGGTTAAAAAAACAGTATTTTTAGGCCATGTAAACTTTGGAAAATTGCGTGTCTGAATCATCATTTGTTATCTCCAAGGTTAATGGGTTAAATTAAATTGAGCATTCAGCACGTTCCCAAGTAGATGTCTTCCAAAAGATGACTTATCATTTATATTGCTTTTTTCAGATATTTTTTAGATAATTTTGTCAAGTTAACCAGAATAAGGTTTTTGCACCCTTTTATCACCCTAATGCACCGATCAGTGTTTTCCTCTGGTGTTCATCAAAATAGTATGTTAATAGTAATATATTGAAAATAGTTGTGTGTATAGGGACTTCAAAACATTCTGTTTTATTCTTTGAACATTTGAGGCAGTTAACAGCGTCGAGAAGTGTATTGTTTTCAGAATACTATTTCGATAATAATTGCAATAAGTGCTTGACACAGTTCATCATTTCATAAAGAAAAAACAGAGCAAGTAAATTATTCCTCTACACTTGTGCCCATGAAAAAGTAGCGGATTTTTATCGGCCATGTGTTAATCAAGTTATTATATTTCAGAAGTAAGGAGAAACTTCTCGTTCAACTTGCGACATGAGAATGTAAAACTAAAAATGGTACATTACCTTAACCTTGAAGGGTGCATGCATTGTGTATCTCTCTAAAGAGTTATAGTTGTTTTAAAGCTGTGTTTATCTAGCATCTCTTAAAAATAAATTAGTGGATCTACTTTTTTCCATTTGTTCTGAAAAAGGGACAGTTTTAAATACTGTTTCTGAAAATGCATTAACCCCTTAAGTCCTAATAGTGACCTACATCAATTTTGTCCCAGCGACGACATCAATAGTTTTTCAAAAGAGTGGTTATGAGAATTTAGTTTAATAGATGATCATCAAACGGAAAATTCTTTGATCTTTTATAAATTCTCTCAACTAATTCCTAAGAAAATGTTTGGAGATTAGCCAGAAGAAGTTAGATATGAATTTTGGGACTGAACACCACATCTGTACATAACATGTACAGCCTGAGTAGTGACCTTAGAGAGCATATGTAAAATTGTGGGTTGAATCTGATTTTTGTCCTTTGTTTCAGCAGATACGGTAAATCTTTTGTACTCTTCAAAGTTAAATCCCCTATAACAGTGATGACTGACTGTATAATTGGCTCTGCAATTATCATGTTTCATTGTTGTACATAAATTTATAAAAAATACATCTGAGCCCAGTTGTTCGAAGGCCAATTAGCGCTTAACCCGCGGTTAACATTAACCCTGGTTTCCTTTTCTTGTTTTCAAAAGCATTTTCTCTGATAATTTTCTCTGTTATTTTTAGAGCTGCCAATCATCAACTTGTAGACAAAACGAACTGAAACTGAAATGCTTTTTAAGCTTTCAAATCTGCATTCAAATCTCACACTAACCCTGGGTTATCTTAACCCAGCTTCAAACAACTTGGCCCTGCATCCCAAAATACTTTCAATGCCTGTTAAAGGTTTTGGAAAAGGAAACTTCACAACTAGTCTTCTAGTCTTCTAAACTTCTAGTCTTGCCTTGTATTGCTAATAGAACTGAATATGTTTACAAGATTGTGTACCAAAATTACTTGATCATTTCATTTTTGCCATGCTGCTTGCCTGAGTTAAATATTTTTGAGTCTTTTGTTGACCTCATTCCTTGGTGTAAATTGTGTGTGCCTTTTTTGTGGAGCGTTGATAGCGTATATACTGATCAGCTAAACAGGGAACGCTAACAAGAAATACCCAGTCTGCATTGTTGTTAACAACATCAGTTACAGTAACGTTCGAAATGTGAGAAGTGATTTTATCACCATGATTCTAAGAAGGGTACAGTCAACTCTCTCTTAACGGACACCTCTATAAGACGGACACCTCTGTAAAACGGACACCTAGAGTTGGTCCCTGCCTTTCTTTACTCCCTTTATTTGACGCTCTATAAGACGGACACCTCTCTAAGACGGACGCTTAGTGCGGGTCCCAATGGTGTCCGTCTTAGAGAGAGTTGACTGTACATATCTTTCTAGTCACAGCAAGCAGGTGCTCCGTCAAACGCCAGCAGATAGCAGCAACATAAGCCAGCCAAATCTGTGTTAAGCAGCCTTTTAGTGAATGACTGCCCTCCTTAACAGATCATTTGTCTAGAAGTTCTTCTTTTAAGATCACAGAAATATTAGCCATTCTGGCTACTCGTAAATTCGAAGAAAAAGTTTGTATCTGGCCAAATTTTCTCAAAATTTAAGCATACATTGAATCCTAGGTCATGAGAATATTAATTTCTGTTTTAGCTCAGTTCTGTGCTAAAGTCGTTACTAAATTAGTGCCGTTATATCTATACACAATGCTCCTGTAGGGTTATGAAGATGGTTATCAGACCAAATTTTTTGCAGGCATAGCAAAATAGGTCAACGTTTTCAAGTTTGAAGGGTCTGCTTAGTCCAGGTTTTAGTGATGTACATTTTTTGTGGAAAGCATTCAATGCAATAGTTCTATACACTGAATTGTATGGTATATATTCAGGTTCCCCAAAACAGCTATTTTAGATGAGTGTGTCCATGGCAACACAGAGATGCCATTGCCATTTTTACATTTTCTTAAATTGTGAGAAATGGAGATGTTCATTTTTGAAGTTCTCTCTGTGCTTCTAGTTCATATAACTCTCTTGATTTTTACCAGTTTTAAAGAATTTTCATGAAAGCAGCAATTGTCATTTTCATTTGTTTGAAATTTTTCATTTCTACAACAAAACAAATCATAAACGATGCTATTTACATCTCCACAAATAGACATTTACCTAGTCTGTAGGAACTGAACTTTGGCTTTAAATTGTCTTGATAGTTTTTGGTAATCCTGTGTATAAATATGATTGTAATCACTTCACCCGATTTCTAAGGATGGGAACATAACATTAAACAAGAAGATTTGTGTTGTTATTGTGGGGAGCTCAAATTTTCTAACATAAAAAATACAGGGTGCAAAGCTTAAGTTGTCCCAAAAAACATAAGACTCTTTAGTCAGTCAAGGACAAAGGGAAGCCACCAGGGCTACTGAGGCTACCAGCACTGTCACAGCCTTCGTCCTGGAATGTAAAAGGAAAAGCCCAATATATCTGTCAAAATATCATTTAAAGGCTAGACATCGAGACTAGATCAATTTGAATAGATGCTTATATAAAGATGTAAATGCTGATCCAAGATCAATAATAAATTAGCAGCAAATATTTACTTTTCAAACATTGAGGAAAACCAAAAATGATTTAGATTGAAAGTGAAAGCAAGAATCAGGATTAGCCTTTATTTATTGATATTTGTAAATTAACACCATTGAAAGTTGAAACTTATTAAGTTATTGCAAGTGAATAATATGCCCACACAAAATGTGCATATTTTCAAATGATATTTGTTTCCAGAGTGTAGTAGTTATTATTTTTTTGCCAGAAATATAGTGCACTGGGCAGTGATGATTACTGTGCTATAACTTTGTTAATGCCAAAAACAATACAAAATTGTATTAAATACTGCGTCAGAAAAGTAATGTGATCAATTTTGACTGGATAGACCCACACATAGCTCCGTTGTCTTTCTTAAATCAATTTTTAAGGATCAGAATACTTATTTCTGTTGTGAGAGAAAACAAATATTAGAATGTATGGGGGAGGAAATCTCTATTTCTAAACAAGACATCTGACTTACCTTTTCTCAAAACTTAGTGAAGACTTGGGTATTCATTCAGGTTTCCTGTGAGCCATGTAGAGTCATTTGTATCAATTACATAAATGTATATTTCATTGAACTGTCTGAGAAACCTGATGCCAAGTACAACAAAGTTTTGGTTTCTTTAGCTAGCCATTTAATCTGACCAATGGAAGCGGTCATGTGTCTGCTGGCTGGATTACCAATAATGCCATTAGAAGATGAGCATTTTGAGTTTTTTAACCTTGGCAAGGTTTTTAAGATAACATTGTATGCTGTACTTAGAGGTCAAGGTAGCTTATAATTTGGCCATTAATAGAAATATGTTCTTTTTTTGTCTCCTTTATTCCTTGATACTACAGTGTGGCACTAGAGTTAAACCACAAGAAATGACTTGTTTTGTGGCATTTATTATGACTGCTTTATCTCTGCCGCTTGGTTACATACTTTTGCCTGTCAGTGATGTCTTAGTTTTTGCACAAAAATGAAATGTAGGATACCCTGGATTTCATTTTATTATTTTGACTTCCTACTATGGCAAATTTTCTTAGATTACAGCTTTTTATGTGAATTCTTATTTGTATCAATTTTTGTTGTAGTGGGCAGTCATTAAATTTACAGGTCAAGGATGTGCTCTTGAAAGTTGGCTTTACACAGGCATCTCCCTGTCCATTCCTCCCAAATCCCCCTTGCAAAGTTGAAAATAATTGTATACGGTTGGAGTTCTGTCAACAGACACTTGTAACAAATGCTGTGGATAGTGACCTCCTTCCAGGATTATTCTTCTTCTGATAAAGATTGAGCCTGGTGATTATGTGAAAATGATGATTTTTCAGTCACAGTGACTTGGAAGAAAAAATCCAAATACAATCGCAAACCTCTTCGAATGGCCACCTCTCTAGGACGGCCATTTTTTTGGCGGACAGTCCATACATTCACTCTTGTTTCAACCTGTCTACAATGGCCGGCCACTTTCTTCTTTCCCCAAGGTGGCTGTTGTGGAGAGTTTCATCTGTACTGGCTCCCAACAGGGGTCAAACCTATGACCTTCTGGTTTATTGTTACTGGGCCAGATGCTCTACCACCAAGTTACAACAGACTCATGAGATCTAAGGCCTCTAAGCATTGTAGGTTCATTCCACATTCTAGTCCTAGCGCTATGTGGCATGTTTGCCACGCAAACCCAGCTTAGTGGCCTTTGCTTCCTTGTGTCTCTTGGAGATAGTTGTAGAGCATCAAGCCCCGGGTGTTCAAAAGTTGGATAGTGCTATCCACCGAATAAATCGCTATCCAGTGGATAGGTATTACAAAACACTGTCACTGACTGGAAAATCACCATTATATCAAGTCTTTTTCTGTTTCCCAAGGGTGGTGGTGTCTGGTTTACAAGGGCTTAAACTGTTGTGCTTAACTCTGTCTGATGTTGGCTGTTGATCTTTCAGGATGAGTTACTCTATGCTGACCAGAAAGTTGTCATTAAATGCCATGACATGGCTCGCTGGCAGGACTCTGGCATACAGTGGAACAGCGGTATGATTCCATTATGTGAGAGTGACTTTGTTTGCGTTAACGACAAATACTATCTGGACAGCCACTTTGTTGACAAGGAAAGAGAAAGACAGCTTAAAGCATCAGAATCTTGGAAAAGTGGCGATCAACCACGCAGCCTTCATATCCTCACATTTCCAGCCTACTGTCGTTACAGAGCTCTTAAGAAGAGACTCTTGGCTGGTGCTTGTTTAGCAAAAGCTCAACTTGTTGCTTTGGGTGGTGTGCTTGGAAATCAAACCAGCCAAAGGGTCTTGTTCTGTAGAGATAGCTTCCACCATCCTCTCTTGGATAAATTTGAACTTGCTGGTGATAACAAAGGTATGTACTCTATATGTATGTATGAATGTGTAGCCCTGTATCTTTTGACTGACATTGTGAAATTAAATATCAAATCTAATTTAAGTGATAATGCCCTAGTAGTGACAGTGTTCTTGGCAGCCAAACATTGCTGAAGAACTGAACTGCTGAGAATAACAACAGAGTGTGAGACAACAGAGAGAAAGACAACGGAGCAAGAACAGGATTTTTAAAAACTAGCCTCCTTGTGTCGTCACGCAATGCCCTCCCCACCCCCTAGCAATCAGAGTTGCATGACGACACAAGAAATGGCTGTGTGGGAGACTACATTTAGACCTGTGACCTAAACAATCAACCCTTTCCACAATCAACAGAGCAAGAGCAGGATTTAAACTAGTCTCCTTGTGTTGTCACACAATGCTCGCTCTCCCCATTAGCGTTACGTAACGACACAAAAAATGGCTGTTAGTGGAGACTACAATACTCGTCAAAAATCTTTGAAACAGACACCGTCTCTTTACCTCTCTTTCCACAATGTTCAGCCACGTGTATTTAGTAGCACTGAGACGACTGTTATACCCAAATCAACATCATGGAAGGGGAAACGCGTACGTGTTTCAAGATTTTTGACGAGTATTGTAGATTTAGACCTGTGACCTAAACCATTGGTCATTTTGCCTCCCCTGGCCCATACATTGCTTACAATACTTTTCTCTCTTTCAGCACCAGTTCTGAAAGGCAGACCAAGGAAGAAAAAGAACCTCCATGCAGCACAGAACAGCGTTCTCAAGAAGAAACGACTGGTAGCAGAGACTCAAAATCATGTGACAAACGCACCTGCAGCGAAGAGATGCAAAATATCTGAGCAAGAGGAGACTGCAAGATCGGACATGTCAGAAAGAGTGCTAGAGAGAATTAAGGTGCCGCCTGTGTCACCGAGAGCAGTACAAAACAATGTCCCTCCTCCTCTAGTTAAGCCTAAAGTGCAAGTGCCTTCTGATGTACCTAAAGCTGTGGTTTCAAATGCGCCATTGACCAATACAAAGGCTCCCCCACCCTTAATTCCTTCAGACAGGCTAAAGGGTGTTGCTGTGACTACAAAATTAAGTCACGAGCAAGTTGACGTGAAGGAGAACGAGTGTTCCCGAACCACACCAATGCAAAAGCAGATTTACCCCACCGATGCAAAGCTCAGGAAAACTGATCAGCTCAATAACAATAATAAAATCAACAGTGCTTTGCTGGTTAAGTCACATTTGAGTGATAGCATTAAGCCGAGTCTGACATCTGATTCTCTCAAAAGTGTGAGTTCGTCATCAGAGATAAAAACTGGCAACATGCTTAATTCGTCCGTGAGGGACAACCACGGTTCAACTCGCGCGCCTGCAAAATCTATTACAAATACCAGCAGCGCAGAACACCTTAGAACGAGAATCCCAGGAGTTCAGGCAGAAGCGCTTTCGAGTTCTTCCTCTGCCACCCGACCAGTAGCCTCAACACAGGGAACTGTTGGGACTCAGTTGGCAGTTTCTGTCAGTCCTGCAGTGCGCACTCAACCTGTCGCATCTTTGTCGCAAACAGTTTCCAGCGAACACACGATTGGATCAAAAACGTACCAGCACGTTACTCCTTTAGCAGAGTCTGTTTCAACCTCAGGGAAACCTAATGACGGCTTGGGTACAGGTGCTGTCAGGGCAAGAGATAGTAAAGAAAATGAAGGACGAGAGTTTAGATTAGCTACAGAAGGGAAAAGAGAATATGAAAAATCGCAAACTGAGGAAGCTGTTGCGTGGAAAAAGAAGATGAAAAGATTACGTATGCCTGGCAATGTCAAAGATGAGGTTAGTATTCTTCGTAATTGTAGGCAAATTTAGAAAAGCACAGTTTTTACAGTGGCAACGGCCCTCGTAGATCTAAAGACCGAATTAATCAATGGCAGAGGGGACAAGTTAACCACCGGAAGTCGCGTTTAGTCCTTTCCCGCACGCTTTCGCTTTCTGACTTGACGCTGCGTAGTCTTTGTTAAAATTGTTATGATCGCGAGCTCGCTTATTTTCCTTTTCGAAGTTACTCCACGCGTAACTTATGTGCTCAAGCCGCGTCCCAATCACTTATTGTAATGGCGTTGTTTGCAAACGTGCTGGCTAGGATGAGAAAGTGAAGAATTTTAAGGGAAAAGGAGGCCTGCCGGCAGTCAACTGCTGTTAGTGTTCGTGATACAGCTATTAGTGTGTATTAGATTCTGTCCCAATACAACGAATGCGTTCGTATCAACTGTTATCGTTCTCTTACATGCGGTAGATTTTTAGCGTGACAGGATGTAAAGTTGGCGCCCCCACTTTCTAAGTTCAATTGCTTGATGGCTTGAGACCCATTAAAAGAATACCTATTCTATAATTCTCATTTTAAAGGCAACGAATCGAACTCGTGCCATCTTGGTTGTATTGCTAAAGTCGTTGTTCTAATGTATAAACGCCCCACCCCCAACCCTTAGGTCAATGGAAGTTTTAAAGTGCTTTGTAGTAGTTTTGAGATGATTTTGTCATTGTAACTTTTGCATCTGTGGACAAATTCCCATGGTGTTACCATTAAATGGAAACTTCGGCAGAAAATTTTCAAAGTACTATTTAAATCTTAAGAATTATGAAAAAAAAACGAAATGTTGATTTTTTTATTTGAAATTGTTGGTTTGGTCACCATTCAAAGGATTAAAATGACAGTGTGTTTGTACCTAACTAACCCTAGAGAAGGATAGTGTGGACAGTGTAAAGATGAGGTTTATGAGTCATTAGAAACTTGTAATTTTGTGTTACGAGGAAATCATGAATATTAATTTAAGTTTTTCTTATTTTTATATCAATTTTGAATAATACAGGAGTATGAAGATGAGGACGAGAAGTACTTCATGCAAACTCTGCGAGACTTCATGAGAAAAAATAACCAGCCACTGGGAAAGCTGCCCGCACTTGGCTTCAAAAAAGGTAAAGAGGCGATTACCAATAGATTTGACAAGTCTCTAATTAGACTGCCTCAATCTTGTTTCATTTCTTTGCATAGATATCAATCATCACATCTCATCCGCGGCCGAAAAATTGACTGCTGTTATCGTGTTAACCACAAAGAGGTTAGCTGCGAGCAAGCTCTCCACGGCGCTCCGGCGCCCCACTGCCAGAGCGCCCCGGAGAACTTGCTCGCAGGCTACAAGAAGGTTAGCAAGATAACAAATATTGTTTGACTTGATTGGTGGGCTCCGTCGCTATCGACGGAAGAGAAGTAGGAAGAAGGATAGTAGAATTCCTCCTTTCTCTCTTGTCTTTTCCTTCTCCACATTTTTTTCACCGCTCATAATCTTGAGCCTCGAGCAGAGCGCTTAATTTATCGGGAGAGGCAGAATACGGTACTTTGTCAAGTTTCTAACCAGGTGTCCCTTACGAAAGTTTTACTCTTGCCATCTCATTTCTAACTGTTATAGATTAAGAAATACACAGTTGCCGCCCTCAGGCCAAAGCGTAGATAGTCTCAATGGAGAGGAGGACTTAGTTGTTTGAGTTCAATAGTTCTTAGAGAGATAGATAGTCAGCCTTCCACCAGTCATAGTTTGTAATTGTTTTTTCTCTTTGCAGTGAATCTGTGGACAATGTACAACACTGCCCAGAGATTTGGAGGATATGATGCGGTGAGTATACTATTACTTGCTTATTTAAAAGGGTGTGATGTCGTGCGACAGACAACCTAGCGCTACTTTCATTTACGTCAAGCCCATGCGTTCCCCTAGCCCCCCCCCCCCCCCACTTATTTTTAGACCAAACCGAAGGACCGAATTTTTTTTTTTTGGAGACCGGGTCTCCTTATCTGAAGGTCTGGATCCACTACTGTGATTTTATTGCTTTCTACACACTTTACTCTCTGACACTACACAGTTACTGCTCTTTATCTATTCCTTGAAGACCTATGAGCGATTAACATCAATTTTCTCCAATCAATATCAAGGTATAATCAAGAGGAAAGGTTAGGAGAAAGACGATCACCTTAGGGAAAATGTTTTCTTGAAGGAAATGTAGGGAGATCATTCTGGAGAATTTCTGAGGGAATATTCGGTCTTGAAGGATTAACTCAAGAGTTATTTTATTTTCCCAGGTAACAAGCAAGCGTTTGTGGCGTCGCGTTTACGATTCGCTTGGAGGCAGTGCGACGATTACAAGTGCTGCCACATACACCAGAAGACACTATGAAAGGTAAAACCATGGGCATACTCAACAATACATACCTTAATAGGCCATTTCCGAGTCGCCTCAAGCCTCTGTTTCATAGCGAAGTTAAGTAAAAAGCCATTCCATTTGATATGAAAATGGTTTTTTTATCCTCATGCAAATGAAACTCATTTTCACAAGAAAGGTTTTGCTCTTGGCCTTTTTTTGAAAGTGAGAGTTTTTGAAACTAGGAAATGGCCCATTACCACAATAATATATACTGCCGTTTTTTCAGTTACTGCACGGTAATTGCGCAGCTGCATCCGTAGTTTACAAGCAAGTATCTATCGTAATCAAGCTAATGTTCTGTTAAGTGGACATAATTCTATTTTGTTCATTTTCTGAAATGCACGATTTTCCCGCAGGGGTATTCTTAACGACCGTATGGTATCTAAGAAGAAGGCAAAGACAATCGTCCTCCGTTAAAACGTGGACGTTTGGAAATTTCACGCTGTAGTCGTGCAGTGATGGGAATGAGAAACAGAAAGTGACGTAAAGTCATAGAACAGTCATTTCTTTTCTTTTTTACCTTCTCATAGCCTTCGCCGTCGTGATTGCATAAGCTCCCTACTTCTTTAGTACGTGTGGCATGTCTATTCACTGCAGTGAGTTATATAGTTTATATTTGTTTTTTATCATTCACGTTTGTAGGCTGCTGTTACCGTATGAGAGACACATACGAAGCCAACTCAAGAAACAGATCGATGAGAAAAAACCCACCCCGGTGAAGAAGCCTGCTGCAAAAGAGGCTCCAAACAAAGTGGAGAAGAAGGAAGGACTTACTGTATCCGCTAACAGCACCCCAAAGCCTAGCCTGTGCCCTAATACGGACAAAGCAGCTACAATGAAGCAGACTGAAGGAGGTAACGTAGCTAAAATCCAGCGGAGTAACGCAGTTGTATCTTCACCACCAGTATCTCATGTAAAGGTCAGCGTCCCTTCTGATGCAAAAGAGACGGCTGTGAAAACAACGGATTCAGTTCACCCAGTGCTTGCTGTTACAACATCGGTCACCAGCAAACCACATGAAGTCCCTATCAGCTCTATTAAACATCACGAACCCACAACGCGAAAAGACGAGGTAAAGGTCACGGCATCGCAACCTTTAGCCTTACGAACGACTAAAAGAGACGTGATTCCATCAGAACAGTTTCAGGCAGCCTCTAATCAACAGGTCTCCAACTATCAAGTGACAATGACGAGCAACGAGGAAGCCTGTGCAAGGACCAATACAATCTACACCAAGAACGCAGCTGCTGTGGGTGGCAACTCAAACCAACCTCATCATGGTGCTGCTCTTCAGAGGGTGGCACATGATGGAACCCCCCTGTCCTCGCAGCCCAAGAAGATAATTACTCCAGGAAGAGGAAGAGAAATAATCGACTTGACATCTGAGGATAGCCCTGCTCAGTCACAGGCGCGCAGTCAGTCTCTATCTCATGTTCAGCCTCCCCAGGCCAACCCTCTGGAAAAACCTCAAGTTTCAAGGCTAGTTAGTGAAAGAGACACTGATGGAGGAAGACGGCACGCGTCGAAATCACACTTAAGGAAAGAATTCAACGATGGCAGTTTGAGGTATCAGTTGAACAGTGACGTTCAGTGTAGTAGAGAGATGTCAACCGTCTGTGACAAGCAAGTCTACAGTAGTAAATCTCAATTGAAACCCAAAATACCAACCAGTTCTGCAGTAACGTGGGTTGACAGCATGGAAAGACGATATGCTCATTCGCCCTCATCAGACAGTGTTGATGAGCATTTTGCAGAGTGGCGTCGAAGGCAGACTAACATTCCAGCGCAGAATGTCAGCCATCAAAGAGAGCCAGGTAATCCCGAGAGGAGCATGCTCAGATACAATTACATTAAAGAAGAAATCTGTCCTCCAGACTGCTCCTGTTTACTGTCAACGAGTAGAAAAAATGACATCTCGTCGTTGCCTCCTCCTCCAAAACCAAAGAAAGAACACTACGAGGAAGACGTGCCTTTCCCTGGCATGACACTCTACCCTGGAAGATGGAGCCCAACCATGATAGCAGCTGATCATCCTGATCTTTACTTCTCGTCACATCCACCTCATCTGCCATCACCACAAGACACGCTAGCGAGTCACATGTGCACTGCATCAAGGATCTTCATTCCAACAGCCCAGATCTTTAGTCCCCCTTACCACTTAGGCTTGCCTCCAATGGGGGGCGCTCCACTAATTACCGGAACTGATGATCAGCTACACATTCACCCACACCTTTTGATGGGATCTTCGTACCCCTGCACGTCAAACGCAAGAACGCCAGACGGTACACCGTATTTGTACTCCTTCACTTAAAGAATTGATCTACAGCTAATCTCTGTTCACTGCAGTGCTAGATCCAGACCTTGAAATAAGGGGGTCCGGTCATCCAGATCCTTAATAAGGGGGTCTCCCCAAAAAATATTTTTTGGCCGCTCGGGCCTCACTTTGGTCTAAAAATAAGGGGGGGGGCGAGCCCCCCGGGGCCTCTCCTCTGGATCCGCCACTGCACTGACGCTGTGTTAGCCTGTGTCGCAGACGTAATCAAACCCCGATTAGTGACGTCTGCGAAGCAGCGCCGATATTTCTGTTCTGGGCCCCCAACGGACTCAACGAATTCCCATCAATCTTGCAAACAAATTTACAATGGCTTTTTTAACAGACCAATCATGGCGCACTCAAATCCTAGTACACGAGTGGGAGCCCAGACCAAGGATTTCGGCGCTGTTTCGTAGACGGACTTAACCATAAGTTTAGTTCTGTCTGTGGCGTAGGCTGATACTATTTTGTACTGGCCTATTTAAACAGGCTTATTTGAACAGTAACATCTGAAACCATAACTGAAATGTGTCAATTACGTCACCCAAGAGGTGGGCGCGAATAAGGCACAGTTGACAAAACGTCAATCCTGAAAACGGATGTTCTGTTATAACTCATATTTACATGGATTTGATTGTAGCATAAGTCTTTTGACCCATACCATTAACCTCCCTGCATTTCATTCTGTTTGCTTCTAAGGAAATTGGTAGGTGCTGGGCACTAGCGCAGTTTTCTAACATTGTAAACCTCTCTGTATTGTTCCCTTCCATTAGCACCCACCCTTCCCCCATCGTAGTCAGCTGGTCTGACGATCTTTAGATATAACAAGCCCTCATAGATAACAGTTTTGACATTACTAGTCAGTGTCGCAGTTCTGATATATAGTATTTATCGGTTAAATTAATTGAGCTGTAGGGAGAGTTTAGAGGAAAATCTTTTATATTTCTGAAGTTTTTGTAGTAATTCGTTAGCCTGAGAAAACAGCCGACATTTGGCGACGCTACCACTGGTTTCCCCGCCATATGATGCCTGAGAAACGAGCGCAGAAACTCCATACTGATGACGTGTCACTACCCAGATCTGGGTAGTGACGCGTCATCAGTATGGAGTTTCTGCACTCGTTTCTCAGACGTCATTTGGCGGGGAAACCAATGGCAGCGTCGCCAAATGTCGGCTGTTTTCTCAGGCTAGTCATTCGCAAGATTAAAGCGGACTTCTTTAAGATGAAAAGCGTCAGTATTGAAGGTGTGTGAAAATATTTATGTTTTATAGCGTAAAAAAACTCATTCCCTCCAAGAGAGGTACTAAATCAACTTTAAGATTATTCGTTGCATTACTTCATTGAGGTTACACAGACTTTCGACTAAAATCCAATTAAGAAAAAACGTCGTATTTCTTATTATATCTTTTCAAGGGCTTTTGTTGCAAGTCTTCTTCATACTTTCGAGGTTTTTGGCTTTGTAAATTGTCTGTAAATAGCATTTCGTTACTTGGTTCCATTTGTGAAATATTCGAGGCATATCATAAGATGAGGGAAATATTTCAAATGTGAAACGTGCATACCGATAGACTGAATATTTTAAAAGATAGAGAGATTGTTTCTAAGTTGTTAAGTATTTATTAACTTAAATATCTAATTAGGTTAACTCATTGATCAACTTTAGGCTGGTCCAGCAAAGCAAGAGGAGGCTGTTTTTCATAGGCGAGACTCGTGTGTGTTTTTTAATCCAATCAAAGGCAGCCGTTTAAAATGTAGCTCGAATAGACGAATTCCATGTTCCTTTTTGAACACAAGTCTTTCATTTTTATGACACTATTGATTTGTCAGACATGGCATACGAAATTGGGTATCTTTTTTCCTTAAAAACCAAATGCAAACCAGGATGACCATTTTTTTGCGGTTAAGAGTCACAGACAATACAGTGACTCGTAAAACTAAGTATTGCCTATGAAGTATTCTGCTTGCCCTTCTTGCTTGGATTGCGACCGAAGACCACCCTAACTGCACTTTACAGTAGACCTTTCCACTTTCGACTTGAACAACTTTATAGGGAAGATCCGTCGATGCCACTGGAAAGGACGTCTTAAAATTAGTAAAATTGCCAAGTTTGAAAGTGATTTGTTGAAAAATAACGAAGATAAAGCTCTTCAAAGACGCGACATTTTACAGACGTTTAAATGCTGGAGGGCACAAACTTGCCCCCACCCCACCAAACAAACGTCTGTGAAATTTTCACAACTTTGCTGAGCTAAATCTTCTCTCGCTGAAGACGTATCACTTTCAAGTTTGGCAGTTTTATTAATTTTAAGGCGCTCTTTCCAATGGTGTCGACGGATTTTCCGTAACTGGCCATGGAAGGGTTTATGAAAATATCACTCAGGTAGATCCTTCTTAACGAACTAGTAGATGATTCACTTGCGCTGCTTTTTATCTAATTGAAAAGAAATTTTAATCAGTTTCCCTCCCCTTCCTCTATCGCTTTACGTTTGGAAGTTTATCGTCTGAGATTTTTTCAGGACTTGTGACCGCATGTATAAGATATTTTTCAAGAGTGCTTTGATAATATTTTTGTAGAAAAGCCTATTTTTGTACAGTTTTTGGGAACTTAAAATGCGTGATTTTTCTCAAGTTTAATGTATTATATTTATTTTTGCATGAGGATCAGATTTGAAATTAAAGAGTATTCTGCAAGCTGTTGATGTAAATAAACTTCAATTTATACGTAAACATTTGCCTGGTTACTTGACTTTAGTAGTTCTTGTTTGTCAGACTACGAGTTGCTCCTCATTTTCCTCAGGGGTAGTAAAGAGCCTTCTCACTCAGGAACAAAAGAAAGTTTTTACACAAGTGAAAGGTTTAACTCCCACAGGATTGGTTTGGAACACGAATGTGGCGGACGTGGGCGTCATGTAAAAACACTTTATTTTCTAGCCTCACTTCCAGCCCCTCCCCCGATCCCCTTCACTCCTTGGTACGTTCTACACAAAGATAGCCACTCGTAACGATAAGGGCTAGATCTCGACGATCCTACGGACAAGTAGGGGGCTGTGACCCGCGAGGAAAGTGATATGGGGAGGGAAGAGAGAAAATTTCCTTTCCTTCGTATCTAACCTCTAACCCCTTGCAACCTCAAGTAGTCCTCCGTAACATCTTCTTACCCCCTGTAATCCCTCTTAACCCCTTAACTTACAAGAAGTTACACGGGGTTACATACAGTTGCAAGGGGTTACATTGGGTTTCAGGGAGATACAAGGGGCTAAAGGAAGTTACAAGGAGTTACAGGAGGTTACAAGGGGTTACAGAATAGAATCCGCGTTCCTCGACCTTGGAGTCCCTGAAATTGACAGAACGTGTTTTGTTACAGCAACCCCAAATCCCGCATCAGTAATCGAACTGTTGCCGGCCAAATGCCAGTAGCAATCTTTTTACAAAACTTTAAGACATGAACACTCCAGGATAGATTTTGATCAATGTAAACACCGAGGGATTTAGTAAAAGTCGCTTGACAAACAGGTGCTCCATCCATTATAAACGAGGGGGAACTACCAAACGCGCTTAGTCTTTGGCTTGATCCAATCAAAATAAACAGCCTCAGTTTTAGGTGCATTAAGGGTGAGCTTACCAAGTATGGCAATTGTTAACTCTAGATAGGTCTTCATTTAGATTTCTGTCAATCATGTTCGAAACTGTATAAGCAGCAAAGGTTAGGTGCTTATCAACAGCGTGCATTCATGGTTGAGAATTCAGTGAACAATTGGGTAAATCATTTATATAAATTAAGAATAGGAATAGACCCAGTATTATTCCCTGGGGAACACCGCAACTTGTAGGTCGACAATAGGAGAGTGAACCATTCACAAAACATCGTTGTCTTTTAAGTAAGATCTAAGGCTGACCAGCGAGGTGAGATACCGTCAATACCGTATAATTTCAACTTCGATTAGAGAATATCGTGGTCGACAGTATCAAAAGCTTTCTTAAGATTTAAATAATGCAACTGTTGTTGTCACATATCATACAGCGAGAGCTCTGTAAGGAAAGCTATCGTATTTCCATTGTTTTAACTTTTGTGGTGTAGGCGAGCGAAAATATTTTGGTTACGCTACGCGTCGAAAATGAAGAAAAAATCTCCGCTTTCAGGGAAAACCGGAAATGTGTCAACGAGGCCTCACTCCTGAAAAGAGAACAGAGATCCAGGCTTTTTTCGGCTTGTTAATTTTCACCTAAAGTTACTCTTAGTCTCTCCGGGTAGGAAAATTTGGCAACTATTTTTTTGGGGTAACTTTATTTAAGTAGGGATTTTTGGGGAGTATTCAAAACAATCTGAAGATTCGTGGTAGTGCCAGCGTATCCCGGCCGCGTAGTTCTGCGAATAAAATACAATCAAACTAGTTTTGCGGCTGTTGGATTTTTGGGGGGATTGATGTTTGGTCCAGTAATGTTGCTGGGTATGTTGGAAGCTCTACGGATTTTTGGGGGCTTTGATTTTTGCCCCCATTCGATCATCCCCGTCACTTGAAATCCGCAGTACCCCGCCCCCCCCTTTCCCCCCCGGGGAGTGCTTTCACTTTACTGCGAACATTTAAAGGAGCGTTAATGCTCATGCGTCCAAAAATTCCGAAAATCTTTTTGGGGGTTTTATAACAAAACGGAAAAACGAACAGTACCATGGAAAAAAAGGTGCTGAAGTGGTTTAATCTCATTGGTAACATTGCTGGATTTCGTTTACAGTCACAAAACTTGGAACACTTTGTCCCCAATATGTATTGCAGACTCCTGACGCAGTAATTTACTGACAGGGTTAAGAAAAATTTTTGTTTGCAAAGTTGACTATAAAACATTAACGGAACATTTCTCATAGTTGAAGTGTCATTACAGGGCTTTAATATCAAAACAATGTCGAGTCCACTGAAAAAAAGCAAAGAGGGGAAAAAGGCCTGATACCCTGTGTAACATGTGTAATGCCTAACATTATATTATTATATTTATTTACGGAAAGGAAGGGAGTGAGTCAAGTATTTAACGTAGTTAACGAGTTAAATCATTTTACCCTGCGAGCACAAGGGTTCTCTCTTGTATGGCTTTTGCGTTTACGACGGGACGTATAAAACAAACAAACTACGCGACTGAGAAGCGACGCCAACGACTTCGTCAACGCTAAAAGCCATGCAAGACTGGAAGAACCATCTGCACGCAGGGTATAAT